ATCAGGGTCCTAGACTCTGACCGCGTTTTAGTGCCATTTTTGCTACGATCGTAGCAAAAATGGCACTATCGTAGCAGTAGGCTACTATCGAATATCAAAGACACAGGGGAATTAACGGTATTTTCGAAAAGTCATTGTTTTTCATCATAGTGTTTCGAAAAGTCGTTTCCGAAAATATGAGTTTCGAAAATGTGAGGGCAAATCAAAAGACACACCCACATAATACAAGAGTTCGATGATAGTTTGGCGCGTCGCAGGAGATCTTTCGAGGACCGTATATTTTTTTTGAATTAGGTGGAAAACCGCGACGCAACAAGCAATACCTCCCAAAAAAGACCCTCTAGCGATCCGCGGAGATGTCCGATTTTTGCGCTTTAGTTTACAGCAAAAACAAGCTTTAAACCCGATTTTCCTATGGGAACAGGAGGTGCAAAAGTGATTTCGACATTTTCGACATTGTTACAATATTTCTTAAAAGTAAACTAGCGTCTGGCCAGGGGAAAAAGCGTCGAACTAGAATTAATTTTGCAAGGATAAGTAGTGGAAGCGTTTCTAAATGGTTTTTATTTGCTATTCCTAAACTTTACAAGTATTATTAACACACGTCAAAATCTCGATTTTTTTTTTGATTAAAAAAGTCAATTTGTACCAAAATCTCGTTTTTGCAACGTTTTTTAAAATTTTGTTCTATAGTTTTTCTCGTTTATATGAACTCATACATAAAGAAAAACCGTTTTAAAACACTTTCTATTAACTTACTAGGCATTTCTAGACTCAGACAAAAAGTGTGTTTCGTAGAAGTGCACCTACTCGTCAGCACGAAGTATTGGCAGTAGGTGAATGTATCGTTTCGTATCCTTGTAGGGTTCGTAGCAAAAGTGGCACTAAATCGCGGTCAGAGTCTAGGAAACCCACCCCCCCCCCCAGCCCCAACTTTTCAGCCATACGTCCTATTAATGCGTGAAGTTTCTCAAATATTCGCCGTGAATTACTTCAACAAAATTGTTTCCTGATGATTTTTACAAGATTTTGGAAGTGGAAAAGATCAGGCCGCCTCGCGTCTTGCCGTCGTCGGCCGGCCAACCGCTCGCTCAAAAAAAGAATCGCCAATTCCATTATTTTTTTGAGCAAGCACGGTTGGCTGTCCGTGTCAAAAATTTTTAGAAAATTTTTTATAACAATTATAAGTCTGGGCTTTCTTTAGTTAATTTTTGCTGGTCCAAAGCGAGTTTTCGTATCTCGGCTATCTTTTGACGTACAGAGCTGTCAATGGTACCAAAATGTAGCTGTTGCGCTATATAATACGGCGACAGTAAATTTGAGTTGAAAAATTGCAAAAAAAAATAGAGAATTTGAGTTTAAAACCGTAGTACAATAGGGCAAGGCGACTTAATATTTTCACATTTCAAAAGCTTGCCAAAAGTTTTCTAGCACTTTTTGGCGTCAGGAAACAACTGTTTTATAGTAATTCGATCACGGCGAACATTTTGAAATATTTGACGCATTAATAGTTACTGAAAAGTTGCGGCTAGGGGGGGGGGTTACCACGTTTCAGTGCTTCTTCTGTTGCGAGCTGAAAGGGTCAAATGAAGTTATTTGCATCGTGTAGCACGAGGGTGTCGTAAGTGATTGCAGTCTCTTTGGCTAAGGTCTAGGATCCCCCAGCCGGCTTTTCAACTTTTCTACCTTCCTTATTTTTTTTGCTTCTTTTTAGACTCAAAGTACAATGTATTCTTCCTAATTAGCCTAATGCGAATATTTTGATATACTTTAGAGTTAGCTAGCACAAAGGTGGGGGTCTAGATACAAAAGCTGGTGCCGGCTAGGGGGTGGGTCCCTAGACTCTACAGTCTCTTTTCGTGCACTTGTTCGATGCATGGATCAAAAACCCTGACGCGCTCTGCTGTAACCAGAAGGGATGCTTTCTACACTGCCAGTGCTTCGTGCTGACGCTAGGTGCTTTTATGCGAAACACATTTTTGTTGAAGTCTAGAAATGCCTAGTAAGGGAATAGAAAGTGTTTTAAAGACCGTTGGAAAGATGGCCGGGCGTCCCCAGGGGTGAGGGACCGACGGGGCGATACCATGCACGCTTTCCATCGCGTAAGGGCCCCCAAAGCCCCCGACTGGGTTTCAAGAAAACAGATTTATAGCTATAACTTTTTTGATTGACGATATTCTGGGCCAGAAACTTCCATAGAAATAGTTTTTAGCCATCCCCATCGTTGGTAAAATTTTGAGGCTGATTGGATAGAAGACAGCCATGTTCTGAGCGGAAAGAGGTTTTTGGGACGCTCTTTAGTTGAAAAATCGTCAGTAAAGGCATAAAACACACCAGGAAATTTTTGGGAGTACTTTGCTTTCCTTTAGCAAGCTTTTCTATAGCATTTTTCGTTATTATTATTTATGAATAGCCTTATTTTCAATTGTTGCCCAGTAAAGCGCTCCAATCCGCCCCGAGGGTATTTGGGGCCCCTCCGCCGCCCCCACCCGCTCGGCCCCTTTGGTGTGGGGGTAGCGCGTTGGACTGCGGAGAGGACCATCCCTGGTTCGACCCCCGTCCGGGGCATTCCTTCTTGCTTTTGACCAATCCCATCTTTCCAGAGGCCTTTAAAACAGTTTTTCTTTATGTATGACGATATTTAAACGAGAAAAACTATCTAAAAATTTTTTTAAAAGGGTTGCAAAAGGCGAGATTTTGGTAAAAAATCGGCCTTCTTGATAAAAACCGCCGATATTTTTGACCTGTGTTAATAAAATTTGTAAAGTTTTCCCGTTTGGGAATAGCAAGAAAAAATTATTGAGAAACACTTCCACAATTTATCCTTGCAAAATTATTTCTATATCGATGCTTTGTCCCAAGACCCCCCCAGCTGCAACTTTTCAACCATACCAGTCAACAACCACTGCCAGTGTTTCATGTTGACGAGTAGGTGCCTTCACAAGAACCACATTTTTTGTTAGAGTCTAGAAATGCCTAGTAAGTTAAAGGGATACCGACGGCACCGGTCGATCACCCCTGATCGACTTTTTGGCACGTAGCCAGCAGGGCAAAGAACACGCCCAGGGGCGAGACGCAGAGACATTTTCTTTGCCTCGCGTCATCGATTACGTATGCCGTCGTTACCCCTTTAATAGAAAGTGTTTTAAAAGTGATATTCTTTATGTTTGACTGTATTTAAGATGACTATTATTGATTTTAAAAAAGGTTGCAAAAGGCGAGACCCCCAGCCGTCACTTCTACTATTAATGCGTGAAGTGTCTCAAAATATTCGCCGTGTTCGAATTACTTTAAAAAAAAGTTGTTTCCAGACGATTTTTACAAGATTTTGAAAGTGGAAAAGATTAGGCCGCCCCGAACGTCTTGCCGTCGGCCAGCCAATCGCTCGCTCGAAAAAAGAATGGCCAATTCGATTAATTGTTTTGATCAAGCAGTGTCTGGCTGGCCGACGACAGCAAGACGTTCGAAAAAATAATGGAGAAATCCGTTATATATTGTTCAAGCAGCGGTTGGTCGGTTTTTTGATGAATCATGAAAAAATAATGGAAATCTCCATTCCTTTTTTCGGACTTCTTGCTGTCGTGCTTACATTATTTTGCGTTGTAATTAAAACTCTTCGTATAGTTTTGCCGCTCTGTTAGCGAGCCAGGGGGCGGAGCCCCAAGGGAGACGAGCCGCGAGTGAAGGGAGATGGCAGTCCAGACAAACCCCCAAAAACGCCGCATGGCAAATTCTCACCTTTTAAAGATGCTATAAACATTTTGGATATTCTATTCTAGAAATTGAAAATGCAAGGAATGGCAGCAGGTTGGTGAAAGTCCTTAGGACTCTGAGTTTATGGTCGAAGCTATGGGAGACGTGGTCGTACAGATATAACATTAATCGTTCGCTACCGCACACCATGCCCTTAGAGGAAATTCGGGCCTGGAGCAGACAAACAAATTACATGGAGGTCCCACCTCAACAAACTCATCTCCCAGAGCTGAAGAAGTTAGACTTAATTGGAAGGTTAGGCAAGCCATCCATCTTTTGTAGATTAAATTCCTGCCTAATCCCAAGCCTTCCAGTTGCCATAAATTCATGGACTAAACCAACCACTAGATCCACCCCTACGCGCTTAAATTCGGTACAACGCCGTAATATTTGGATATCCAAGAAAACAAGCTACCTGAAAAGGAGCATTATTAATGAAATTATGAAGAAAATTTGCGCTAGGGTTTTACGAATAACTAATGGGTGGCCACCCCTAATATAATATCTTTCAAATGACCAAGCCTTGAAATTGATAAAGTGCCGAACCGAGGGCCCACGGTGAAGCCGCGGCGTTGACCAACTATTTTGTATGAAAGCTCCGAAAGGACTTTCCGTAAGCACCGAGAAACAGCTGAAAAGCCTTCGAGGACGTGCAGGCTTGTGTATAGGATCTAGTTAATGTTGCCAATTTTTAGTAAATGGGAAAAGAAACGAAAAATGTAGCTAATTTACTCGACATTCCCTAGTAGCCAATTTCAAACAAGACTCGCCCCACCCAAAAATACAGCTAATTTAGACAAAATTCCCAACGTATCTCCTTTCGTTTCTATAAAAATTTCCGTTTTCTTTTCGCAAATGGGGGATCATCTTTCCGTAGGGGCCGATTTCGTTTTCCAATCTTCACATTATCAACCTTTCGTTTGGCCACCGAGGCACAGCAGGGAGCCGGGGCGCGGCAACTGTCGGACCCCGCACCCGACTAACACGGCTGGAAGCCAAGACATTAATCTCTAGAAAGCCCCGCCGAGAAAATTCCGTAGGGTTCAAGTTTACAACGGTTAAGGGGAAAGCGAAAAAGTGAGAAAAGATCCGGGGGATCGAAAATTATAAGAAAGGGAAAAAACTAAAACAAAAATATATTTTGAACACTTTTTGACAAATCCATTCACAACATTTTCATTTTCAATGCTCTCCTCTTGAAATACCCCGAACGGGAAACGAGATGGCAAAATTGGTTCAGACACTGGATGTCAGACTTCTTTCTCGCTGATATCGAGAAACACGATGGCACGCCGACGCGCCCGCTGATGTCCTGGACCGAAAAATATCTCCAGGCAATGCAGCTTATGGCAGTGACTGAGGAACAAGTCATCCGGAATTTCCCAGCCTTCCTCACCCGCACTGCGCGTCGCTGTTGGGAAGGTCTCACGGCCGCCCAAAAGCAGGGCCAACCACTACCGGTCCTCAAGAACTGGGCCACAGCGGTGAGAGCTCTACGAAGCCGACGAGAAGAAGCCACGTCCCTCTTGGAAGAGAAGAAGTTTAAAAAAGGCGACGACCTGAATAAGTTCGCCGAGGAGATTTCTGCCCTTGTGGAAGCGCTTAGCTCGGATGAGGCCTGGGACTCTGAGAACGAAGCGAAGTCCCGCCTCATCCGCAGCTCTACCGAGGGAGCTGAAAAGAAACATCCGCCACCAACTCTCCCCTCAACTGGGATGGGATGAGTTGTTATTTCGCATAAGGGAAGAAGTACGCCAACAAGAACTCGACGCCGCTGTCGTCTCCGCTGTCTATGGAGACAACTACAACCATCGACGAGGCAGAGGGAACAACCGACCCCGATACAATCAACAATTCAACGGATACCGAGGACGCGGACAAGGACGAGGCGGATACCAAGGAAACAACTATTCCCAAAACTACCAAGGAGGAAACAACCAGCAAGCCTGGAATAGCAACCGCGGATATCAAGGACAACGGGGATACAATTTCCAAAACAACTTCCGAGGAAACCGAGGACAACGCGGCAATAACCACAACTTCAACTTCAGCAACAGAGGGAACTACAACGGCTACCAGAACAACTACCGCAACAACAACGGAGCCGTAAATGCTGTAGACCAACAAGATGCCCGATACGGAGACAACGTAGTCTTCGTGAATGGAGACAATATCCACGCCATTTTCGACGATTTGCAAATTGATGAGCACCAACAATCCGACTCTGAACTTTACGACAACCAAATCCAGGAAGAACTACAAGCCGCCGAACCAATTGGAGAAGAAGAAGACGACGAGAGACCACATCCCGAGGACGAATACGGATTCGAAAATATGCACGATGCCGATTTGACCGGAAACTACGATGAGGATCAGGAACACCACGGAGATAACCCGCCGCCAACCAGAAAAATCGAGATCTTACCCCAGGGAAATCTGCAAGTGAAAATCGAAAGCACCCAAGAAGCTGAAATCGAGGATGGATTCGAAATGGGAGCACCGGAACCCACAAATGTGACCAAAAAGTCGATGAAGAAGAGGATGAACAAGACCAACAAAAACAAGCAGATCCAGAAGAATGGGAAAGCCAAGACGGAAGACGAGACGTCAAGCACGAGCCGGAACACGAACGGAAGGACCAGCATTTGGTCGAGGGTGACCTTTATGGCCATTCTCGCCACGCTGATCGCACCCGGAATGCCACTGGAAGTCACTAATTGCGAACGCACCGGACCCCCGACGATGATGGAACTACCGAAGCTACCAAACTGCAATATGCGCCTTTCCAAGAAATTCCCAGCCAAGATCTATGAGGCACATACGACACTCAAGAAATCCAAAGCGTTCGAATGCCAAAGCGAAGCAATTAGCATTTGCCGGAGCTCATTCCTCAAAATGACCGAGACGACCACTGCCTCTCGAACAAAAGCAACAATAATCACAGCCGAAGCTTGCCGGAAAGCCACTACAGAGGGAAAGATTGAAAATTTGGTGCTGACGAAGAACCAAAACCTCTGGACAACTGAAACGGAAGAGATGCCAAGTCTACCTTGGTTCGGAGAGACCTGCAAGACGATCAACAAGTTCAAAATCCGCGAGGGAAACGCATATTTACTGGATCCAAATCAAATAACTCTAACCGTAGGAGTTGGAATGGCGTCACCAAACATCACGGAAGTCAGAAATGGGGACTCAATCACGGTATGGGAACAAATCGTACCCGAAGACTGTCACCTCGAGTTCCTTACTTTTGAAATGGTCGAAACCAATTTCCAAACGATGTGGCTCCCAGAGCTAAAGGTGATCGACGAAGTCGTGAAACCTACAATGGACATGTACTGCGGAGAACAAGGATTTCGCACCGCATCCGACTAGGTCATCGTACCGGACGATTCACCAGCGAAAAAGCAGAAGAAGCGAGATACCGGAGCCAAAAATGGGGACTTGACGTTCACATTCGACCCATCACTAGAACCGAAGGAGAACCTTCGACAAATGTGGAATTTGTTGACAACGATGGTGAATAGCTCAACAGCCGCAAACAGCAATTTGAGAGCGGAAATGAAGAAAATAACGACGCTAAACACGGCACTTCGAAACAGAATCGACGATCTACAAATGGAACAAAGACTGGACGACATGGAGAAGAAGATCAACACCTTGAAGAACAAGACCCAAGAACAACTAACTGTGAAAAATCCGGAGATCGAACAAATGAAGGCGGAAATCGAGAAAATCAAGCTGAACACCAAGACCAACGGAGGCATCGATAGCTACGCTCAAGCTACTCTACAATCCGCACTGGAAAAAATGCGAACACAAATCGAGGAACTCAAGACGAAAAATGGCCAACAGGAGGACGAATTTCAAACTGAATGCCGAACACAACAAAACGAGCTGCAAAGACTTCAAACAAGAATGCTGATCAACCCGACCCAGGCCATACGAGAAGCCATGGGGAAGCCGAATCTCGTTGCACAGAAGATCGATCAAAGCCGGCTTTTGATTATGGAGTGTGAAACACTGTCCATTGAAGAATCCCAGCTACTCAAATCTCATCGACTGAATGACACGAGCTGCTTCGAAGAAATCCCGGTAAAAATGGAGAAGGACAAAATAGCCTTTCGAAGTGCCATGACAGCATGTGCTGATACTGACTGACGCAGTGCCACCTACCAGGAGACAAAGATAATACCACTATCGGTATTTTTCAATACTGCAAAAGAAATCAAATCGACACCGAACAACGCACTACTAGGTCGCCAAAGAATTGGAAGACAAGCACTCTTTGGGAAAGTCAAAGAATGGACTACGACACCAAACAGATGGATTAAGGATATCTACAACAGGACAAAAGCTTCCGGAGAAGAACTCTTGGACACGGTCCAAAACCGCACCTTATCCGTCGTCGACCGCGTAGGTGAAAAGACAAAAGATGCGATTGATGGTACAAAAGTATTAATCAACGACACGATGGATGAGATCAGAGGATGGGCATCGAAAATATTTTGGTGGATTGGAATACCTCTCATCTGCATCATATTCATCGTTGGAGGAATCTTCTTTTACTTCAAAATATGGCTGATCCAGACATCAACCGAAGGACTGACATCGATCGTTAGAAGAATTCTGCCAGCGCAGATTAGCTCAATCACGGAACAGGAAGCTCAAAACCTTCCTTTATCCCGAATCAATGCAATCCTCAACAACACCGTCGAAACAGAATCAGATGAGGAACCAGAAAAAATTGTCCGAAGCAAGAGGAAGCACCGAAAATGGAAAGGTACCGGCACACCACAGGATTTCCGAGCGGAATGGAGACGAATCGCTACTACAGTCGCCGTCGTCGCGAGCCTATCGACGGCATCAGCACTACCAATTGTCGGACTTCATCTGGATGGACACCAGTAGTAGCCCTGCTAGATCCGGGAGCAACCCTATCCTTACCGTGCATCTCGACTTGCCGTTTCGTGAGGAGTCACGGCTGAAGCCAAGCAGCCGAGGAGTAGCACGAACTGCTACCGGAGAACCGTTCGGATTTCTTGGAGAATACGAGACGCTGATTTCAATCGCAAATCTTCACACGAGAATCACTCTGCAAATCACACATGATTCGCAATTCCCTACTCCAGCCCTGCTAGGAAATGACTTTTGGCGACGTCTAGCCAAGAAGAAGATACACATCCAATTCGACATGTACAAGAACCAAGTGACTATCGGAAACGACACACTCACCTTCCTACGACAAGGAGAACAAGGAGTGACCTACAACGTCTCTCTTGCAATCACGGCACCCGAAAACACCAGAATCCCACCAAGGACTACAACCTGGATACGAGCCGAACTACCCATCCAAGCAAATCCCGACACCAAGATCCAAACTACTACAATCGACGAGGAAACTGAAGCAGAATCAATATGCAGCATCCACCCAGGACACACCGTGCAAGGAGGAATCAAGAACCTTTGGATCCAACTATCCAACCCAACAAACGTCACCAAAATGATCGCTTCCGGAGCCAAAATCGCAGTGGCAGAACTGATTCCACGACTTCAACAAGTATCATTTCTCGGAGATGCGGAATACAACAGCAGAATATATGCCAGCCCCGAAGCCGACTACGAGGCCAATCTCCCGTCACTACCAGAAGAGATCACCTTCACGGGATTCATGAAGAAGAACCTAGACTTGACCGGGACGATTCTGAACGCATCGCAACAAATCCAACTACAAGAGCTGATTCTGGAATTTCAAGAAGCCTTCGTCGGACCAGACGGATTCAACGGACGATTCCTAGGGAAGACCCGCCACGTATCCCGCTCCTAGAACACGACTACATTCCGATGCAAAGACCATCAAGAATCCCGTTGGAGCGCTATGCCGAAGTCGAGAAGCAGATCAACCTCTTCCTGGAGCAAGGAATGATCAGGAGATCCCAGTCGCCGTTTTGTTTCCCTATTGTCCTAGTAGAGAAAAAGCACATCAACACCTACCGCTTCACGGTCGACTACCGAGGACTCAATCAAGTGACCAAGAAGGGAACGGTCATTCTACCTCTGATCAACGACCTGATCGACCAGCTCGCCCGAAAACGGATCTTCACGACCTTGGATTTGGCCGAAGCGTTTTGGCAAGTCGGTCTTGATCAACGAGATTGGTATAAAACAGCCTTCGGCTGCCATCTCGGCTTGTTCGAGTTCACGGTCATGCCCATGGGCGTGACCGGGGCTCCGGATACCTTTCAAAATGTGATGCGAGAAGCGATGGAAGGAGTACGAGCGACGGTATGTATCTACTTAGATGATGTGGCCATCGCCAGCGACTCCATCGAACAACACCTCCGTGACATGCCTATTGGAGCCGACGACTCACGGACGGAGAACGGAACTTCGTCGCCATCGAATTGGAAGCCGCAGCGATCGTTGGAGCCATGAAAGCATTCCACAACTACGTCTACGGAGCACGCATCACCGTGCGTACAGACCACCAACCCCTGCCAGCACTATTCAAGGAACGAAAATTGACGACACGCCTGGCTAAATATCAACTGACGTTGGCCGGATACGACATCACGATGGAGTACAGACCCGGGAAATTGAACGATCTACCGGACGGACTTTCGAGAAACCCGCCACGCGACGAAGAAGCAGAAAAGCCGTTCGAACAACCACACCGACCACTCGCCGAAATCTACGACCCACCAGAGCCGAGCACTAATGCACAACCGCAAGAAGCAGGACACGTCGCTGCAATTACCGAGAAGAAACTACCGACTCCAGACGAAGTCAGAGAATCCCAAGCGACATGCCCATGGATGGGCGAAGTTCTGAAACTCGCGACTGTGGTCAACTACGAAAGCGAGAACAAGACGAAGCGCGTACAACAATGGAAGGACCGCTACACTGTGACGAATGGAATCATCTACAACAAGTCGAAGAATCTACTTGCGACACCACAAACCGTCCTACCGGAGGACTCGAAATGGAAACAGCCAATCCTGAAGTTCTACCATGAGCAACCACACCTTGGAGCACACAGCGGAGCGGAACGGACTGCACGACTCACTGCCCAGAAGTATATCTGGAATCGGATGAATTCCGATGCCGAAACTGTCGTGAGGAACTGTACGGACTGTCAAGCGAGGAAAAGCGGACCCAATCTACGACCAATTCCAATGGGAAAATTCGAGCCAGCCACGAGGCCATGGCAGAGAATCCACATCGATCACGCCGGACCACTACCTCAGACGCCAAGAGGGAATCGATACTTCATGTCGTGCATCGACAGCTTCAGCAAATATGCGGTATGCCGAGCCGTACCGGATGTTCAAGCCGAAACTATAATCCGCATACTATATGAAGACGTACTGACCAAGTTTGGATTCCCGAGAACAATTGTATCAGATCAAGGAAGCACCTTCCTATCGGAAGCCTTTTCAAACACCATGAAGCTATTCGGAATCGACCAAAAGACCTCGCCATCCTACCACCACAGCACGAATGGACAAGTGGAACGCTTGCATCGCACGATTGAGGAGCTTTTGACGACGACACTACAACAGCGAGGAATGCAGAAGACAGAATGGGATGTTCTACTACCTTTAATCGTCCACGCTTATAATCGAGGAACGCATTCGAAGATCAAAATCGCACCACACGAAGTAATCTTCGGAACACAACCAAGTGACCCAGAAGACGCCCTAAATCTGCACCCTACATGGTCCTACAACACGCCCGAAAGCTACTCGGAGATACTAGCCGATGCTCTACCCGCCGTCTGGAAAGAAGTCAAAGAGAAGCTATCCATTGCCGACAACTCTACTCGACAACAATCAATGCCAGCCGCGACTGAGAAGCTGACTGAGAAGCGAGACTATCAACCAGGAGACAAGGTCTGGATCAAAACGCCGACCGCCGACAAGCTGACGCCACGATTTCAAGGACCGTACACAGTGATCAGCACGACTACGACGACCGTTCGCGTCAAGGGACGCACCCGACGCATTCTGGAGGTCCACAAGTCGCGGACCAAACCCGTCACCGGAGAGGACGGTCTCGAGGACGAGCCCGATGAAGCGGAGGGGGATGTTAGCGAGCCAGGGGGCGGAGCCCCAAGGGAGACGAGCCGCGAGTGAAGGGAGATGGCAGTCCAGACAAACCCCCAAAAACGCCGCATGGCAAATTCTCACCTTTTAAAGATGCTATAAACATTTTGGATATTCTATTCTAGAACTAATTGAAAATGCAAGGAATGGCAGCAGGTTGGTGAAATTCCTTAGGACTCTGAGTTTATGGTCGAAGCTATGGGAGACGTGGTCGTACAGATATAACATTAATCGTTCGCTACCGCACACCATGCCCTTAGAGGAAATTCGGGCCTGGAGCAGACAAACAAATTACAAAATAGGGATCGGTAATAGCAGCTATGCTAATTTCGAATGCCCTGCCGCACTTTTCATCAAAAGGGATCGGTAATACGCAGCTATGCTATTTTTGAATGACTTGTTACACCCTTTCGGCTTTTTTTGAATGCCCTGCCGCACCCTTTTTTCATCAAGGGCGACCCACGCCCGCCGCCCCTTTTCTCAAAGGGGTCGGTAATAGCAGCTATGCTAATTTTTGAATGACCGGCCACACCCTTTTTCATCAAAGAGGGGATCGGTAAGAGCAGCTAAGTGATAATTTTTGAATGACCTGCCGCACCCTTTTCATCAAAAGGGGATCGGTAATAGCAGCTATGCTAATTTTTGAATGCCCTGCCGCACCCTTTTTCATCAAAAAGGGGTCGGTAATAGCAGCTATGCTAATTTTTGAATGACCTGCCGCACCCTTTTTCATCAAAAAAGGGGTCGGTAATAGCAGCTATGCTAATTTTTGAATGACCTGCCGCACCCTTTTTCATCAAAAAGGGGTCGGTAATAGCAGCTATGCTAATTTTGTATGTCCTGCGCCCTTTTTCATCAAAGGGATCGGTAATAGCAGCTATGATAATTTTTGAATGACCTGCCGCACCCTTTTTCATCAAAAAGGGATCGGTAATAGCAGCTAACCCTGTTAATGTTTTGGATGATATGCCGCACCCTTTTTCATCAAAAAGGGATCGGTAATAGCAGCTATGCTAATTTTTGAATGACCTGCCGCACCCTTTTTCATCAAAAAGGGGTCGGTAAGAGCAGCTATGCTAATTTTTAATGACCTGCCGCACCTTTTTCATCAAAAAAGGGTGCAGGTAAATCAGCTATGCTAATTTTTGAATGACCTGCGCACCTTTTTTCATCAAAAGGGATCGGTAATAGCAGCTATGATAATTTTTGAATGACCTGCCGCACCTTGCCATCAAAAAGGGGTCGGTACGAGCAGCTATGCTAATTTTTGAATGACCTGCCGCACCCTTTTTCATCAAAAAGGGATCGGTAATAGCAGCTATGCTAATTTTTGAATGCCCTGCCGCACCCTTTTTTCATCAAAAAGGGATTGGTAATAGCAGCTATGATAATTTTTGAATGACCTGCCGCACCCTTTTTCATCAAAAAGGGATCGGTAATAGCAGCTATGATAATTTTTGAATGACCGGCCGCACCCTTTTTCATCAAAAAAGGGGTCGGTAATAGCAGCTATGATAATTTTTGAATGCCCTGCCGCACCCTTTTTCATCAAAAAGGGGTCGGTAATAGCAGCTATGCTAATTTTTCGAATGACCTGCCGCACCCTTTTTCATCAATTTTTTAAAGGGGTCGGTAATAGCAGCTATGCTAATTTTTGCATAACTGCCGCACCCTTTTTCATCAAAAAGGGATTGGTAATAGCAGCTATGATAATTTTTGAATGACCTGCCGCACCCTTTTCATCAAAAAGGATCGGTAATAGCAGCTATGCTAATTTTTAATGACCCGCCGCACCCTTTTTCA